TAATTGATTAAGTAGATATTTACACTTTATACCTTTATAATTAGTTATTTAATTTAATTTACATTTTTTACTTTTTTGTTTTTTATTTTACATATTTATTATATTAACAAACATAATCGTATATTAAATAAAATACATAAAAAAAATACGTTTTTTTAAGGGGGTGGAGATAAAATAACCCTTTTTTATATTACATTATTATTATGTCTCGTCAATATATTAAACAACTTACACTTTACGTACAAATTATTAAATATCATAAATACGTACAAATTATTTTTAAAACTTACACTTTTTATCTTTATAATTTTATTATTTACGTAAATAATATAAAATAAATTAAACAACTAATTATAAGATTGCAAAGTGTAAATATTTTTTTAATCAATTAGAAACTTTACCCAAAATATGGTTTTTTCTACCTAAAGTTTCTTTTTAAATTCATTTTCTTTTCTTTTTTTGTCCTAAAAAAATCTTTATGTAGAAAAAAGTATTTTACGTAAGGTTTTTTTTTAAACTTTGACTAAAAAAAAGTAATTAAAAAGTGAAATCATTTTAATGAGTTACGTAAATTTTTCGAATAAAAAATTAGAGACCTATTTTTTTAATATTTAATAGTAGACCAGAAAAATTAATATATGAAAAGACCTACTTTTTTTAATATAATAAAAACCATAAATTATTTGATAGATTCTAATTAATTAATAAATGTATTAACTAATTATTTTGGAACTCAAAATCCAAAAAAGTTAAATTTATCATTTTGTGCTACTAAAAAAAATTAGGTGTCAAAGTTTAAGGGGTTGTTTGTTTATCTTTGAATTATTAAGATGTAAATTTTATTTGACAAAAAAAAAATATGTCTCTTTATGGTTCTAAAATCATTTGAATTATTTTGTATCATGGGTTTCCCTTAACCATTCAACACCCTAATTCACTTGTAAACAATTACCGAACAATTATATTTCATTTTGCACTATATCATGAGAATCTATTAACCATTCTGACCACTTAATCATTTTGTACCAAACCATTCAGCAATTGTCAAATAACCCCTTAGCTTTTGTTGGTGTTGTGAGGGTTTTATGACTTACAATAGGTGCTTTTGTTTTAAACGCAATAAAATTTCGATTCATTATAAAGCCAATAATCATATATTGTTGAGAGAGAAGAAAAAACCGTATTCTAAACAACCTAACAAATTTATTTACAGAGATATTCTGAAGAAAAAAAAATATATTCATAATGATTATCATAACATCAATAGAAACTGAAAAACAGTGGAGATGAAACTTAGTTGATAAGTCTTCACCCAAATCAGCTTCATATATATTATTTGTCAAACTATCTGACTATCTGATAAAAAAAATTCAATTGGTCTTCGAATTTGGGTAACTGCTTCTATTGGTTGTTATCTATGCTTTTGTTTTTGTAGTTTTTTTTTTTTAAATATATAATATTTATATACGACAAATGCAACAAATAAACTCACATACTCTTCTCACCTTTGGTGAGGTTTGAACCCTTGACCTTCTAGGAAGTCAAGGTCTACGATACCGCTAGGCCAAAGGCCCTTTGGTTTTTGTTTTTGTAGTTGGTATTGTACTATTTACTAAAACTAAATTTGATTTATAAGATGTCTAGATTGTCTAAGTATCCTAATAAAATAGTGTATAAAACTTAGGTTTCTGGGTCCAAACTATAAAACGTCTTATCTAAAAGAGTTACAATAAGCTTATAGAACGATTTTAGACGTTTCAACAAGTTAACTAAGACGTTTTTACAATAAAGTGTCATATTAACTATTTCATATGACACTTTTGAGAAATGTCCTATAAACTCATTTTTTTTATATGACATTTGTGTTTATATAACATTTTTTTCATAGTGTTGTATAAAATAGTTAATACAACACTTTATTTAAAAGCGTTATAAAATTTGTTAAAACACCTAAAAATATCTATAAACTTATTATAACAATTTTAGATATAATATTTTTCTGGTTTGGTATTATAAACTTAAATTTTATAAAGGATCTTTTTATGACGCTTTTGGATTTTAGGCGTACTATAAAATCAATTATGTTTTCTCCCACATTCCCATGGATCTTCATCAGAAAACCTTGATAATCTTTAGAGGTGTGTAGAAAATCAACTGATTCAACTGGAACTGACTGATCCAATTAGAATCGACCGACCCTAATTGGATATCCAATAAAAAACTGGATCGGATCGGATTGAAATTTTCAACATCCAATTTGGATCGTTCGGCTCTTTGAATGCAGTCTAGAACCAACCAAAACCAAACCAAACCAAACCGATCAACATCCAATTAATCATCTGATGATCATCTAGTCGTCCATCCAACCACCATCCAATTAATTTATTTTCAAATTGCTTAAATCGGAATTTGTTTTATATGAGGTTTTGAATTTTTAACTTCTGTTGTGTTGGTTTTAACACATATTAAAAGTGATTAATTAATTTGTATCATTGTTAGAAAATTGGATTGAATTAACACACTAGATGGATCTCATCCTATCAAATCATCCATGAATATCCAATAAAAGTATCCAATGGATGAAATCGAACTGATCCAATTATCCATTGGATTGGATTGGATCGGTTAACCAATGTTAATCGGATTGGATCGGTTGGCAAAATCCAACATCCAATGGATGCTTGACTCGGTTCGGTTCCACTCACATCCAATAAATGTCAACTGATGAACAAGCCTAATAATCTTATCTATATTTTATCTCTTACCAACTCTCATTTATGTATCAGAATAAATCATATTTGTTGTTATGAAGTAAGAAAATTCATAACGCTTGGAACCTCCTCTTTTACCTCAATTTCTCTTTTGGAGAGTAACATGGGATTCCACATATTTTCACATGGTATCAAAGCAAATGTTTGTAACTCTAGGGACCTGATGCTTTGGCTAGCCCCTCTCGACGCTCTAGGACAATTTGTGTCCATCTAATCTCTGTTTTTTTGGGGGGGGGGGTGCCGTGTTTGAGTCCCACATCGGTTAGACTTGGACCATTTCTCCTGTATATATGTTTGGAACCTCCCTTTCCTCCTCAACGGCTCTTTTCTAGGGACTTGACACTCTGGCTAACACCCTCTCGACACCCTGGAACAATTTGTGTCTATCTAGCCTCTATTGTAGGGGGCATGTTAGAGTCATACATCGGCTAGATTTGGACCATTTCTTTTGTATATATGTTGGAACCACTTTTCTTTCCTCAATGGATTTTTGGAGATTAACTTAGGGTTCCACATATCTCACACCCTCAATCATGACTTATGCTTCGTTTTTATTCTCTATATTTCTTGATTTTGTTATCATCATTTTGTGTGGTTTAAGACAGCAAGAGAGTTCTCAACTGATTTCCAATTTTATGAAGTATTATGTCGTATAAACAGGGTTCAATGCTCATCTTGTATTTTTAACGTGTAATCATATTATCAGTTGGTTAACTATTACTTTTACAGAGTTTAACATGGAGCTGTAAGAAATTGTACATATGCAACAATAAGTTGTTAATTTGAATTTTAAGAACGTAATATACTACAAATCAACTCATTCGTATACAAATTGGCAAAAAAATGGTTCATCCACAGTTTAATTTGATGAATTAATATCTCAAGTGTTGGTGAATATTCATGTCAAGTATTTTGATCAAAAATATCTGAAATAAGTTATGTTTGGCAAACCAGCTAGAAAACTAATCGTTAAGTTGGATAACAAGTTCAATGTTAGTTGATAAACCAATTATATCTGGTAAAAATTAGATTATAAACTAGATGATAATGCAAAAAAAAAAAAACTTAAAATGTACAGGTTGAAAAAGTACTAACTCTAACATAACGGACATGATTGAAAAAAATAGTAAATTACAAAAATCGTCCTTGGAGTTTGTGGGAATTTTGGTTTTCTTTATAATTTTTGGAAACTAAAAGGACATTATCTAATTTTGTATTTTGTTATGGAAATCGTTCCTCGATTATTAGGGCCATCAAGTGCTCCACAATCAAGTCATAGAGGGGTATTCCAATAATTTTAACTTGCAGTTAAGGTAACGACTTCAGGCATGACCAACTCCCATAGTGTGACGAGGGGTGTGTACAAGGTCTGGGAACGGATTCGTTGCCGTATGGCTGACCGACAATTACCAGCCATTTCGGCTTCATGCAGGCGAGTTGCAACCTGCAATCCGAACTAAGGACAAGTTTTTGGATTGCAGGATCACGACCCTTTGATGCAAGTCATATAGAGGGGTATTATAGTAATTTTAACAAGTTTCTTTTAAATTTTTGTTGGATACAAATCTTAGAGCACAAGTACTAGTTGAAACATTTGAAGAAAAAAAAAAACTATCCTTCCCCCCTCCTCTAGTCATGTTTGATAAAAATGATGTTTTGCAACTATAAGTTGACTTATTTTTTAAGCTTAAACCCCGTTTGGATAAACAATAGATTTGGGTGTGATCGAAAATCATGTCAATATTTCTTTTTTAAATTAGAGCTGGTTAAACGTCTACGATAACAATCATGGGTTCATCTCAACTCTCAAATTTGATGACATGATGCAGAAAAAAAGGGTAAACTTGTAATTTACATTATTCAGGCATAACGAACGGTGGATCCAAGAATTTTATAGGCTGGAGTCCTATGGAAAATTCAAATAAATTTTACCCTAGGTAACTATTTATAGTAGGGTCCCCCCCCCCCTTTATATGCTGTCTCCGTCGCTGGGCATAACAATCGATCAACAGGTTAGCCTAAGGGCAGATCTATTAAGCCTAAAAAGGAAAAAAAAGTCTCTCGAAATCAACTAAAAACCCGAAAAAAATCTTTCGAAATCAACTGAAAACTTATAAAATCCCTCGAAACGGTGGAATTCAGCTAAAAAGATGCAATGTGGAATAAGTTTCAATTATACATGTTTCAAACTCATGTTCATATTGGAAAAATCCAACTCACAAAGTCCATGAAAAAATCAAGTGGTTTGAAGGAGACGCCAAAACTAGCTTGCGTTTGTGGAGCATCAATGGAACCCACAAACGAGTTACCAACTCAGCATCAGCGTTGAATCTACGCACCGCCCCAATTTCCAAATTACCATCTTTACGTAATTGGAATCCAATTTCAATTTCTGTTTTGATTTTAGTCTCACTCATCATCATCTTTATTCCCATTTTGTGGTTTACCTTCTACAATCCACACAACAAAAACCCACTTCCATTTCTCCATTTTCTTCAACTCGATTTCACTCATGTCGTTCAGATTCCGAGGAGGAGGAGGGGTATGCATAATTTCTCTTTAACTTTCCGTTTTCTGTATTTGATTTTAAGGAATCGTAACTTATTGTTTCGATTTATTCTGGTTGAGATCTGTTGATCGTTTTATAGAGTTCGAATTTTTATGTTAATTGGGGAATTTTGTTGATATAAGTATGTTTTCTCTGTGGTATGCGATTACTGTTCTCTGTCCGCCATTGATGAATCTGGTTATGATCTTAAAAGGGGATCCTGTTTAACTTTCGAAATTGGTATGTGGGCAACTTGAATTTCACTACTAATTGGAGCAAAACTTGTTAATTTTCATCGATTAGGGTTCCTAATCCATCCCTCGGTTTCAATTCTTCCTGTAAATTTCTGTGAGATTGATCTATAAATCAGTGAGATTGGTGTTGATTTGGGATTTGGGTTTTCCGGTTCTTATGATCTCAAGAAGTATTACATATGAATTTCTGAACATACGGTTATCGAATTCACAGGCGAATGCTTCTTCTGGAATGGGTGTTGCTGAACACTGTAAATGCACCTTCTTGGAACTGCAAAGAAAAAAGGCTCATCGTTACGTGATCTTCAGAATCGACGAGAAGAAAAACGAAGTTGTTGTCGAAAAGACCGGAAATCCTGCCGAAAGCTATGACGATTTCACGTCGGCTTTGCCGGAGAACGACTGCAGATACGCGCTCTATGACTTCGACTTTGTTACCTCTGAGAACTGTCAAAAAAGCAAGATCTTTTTCATCGCTTGGTTAGCTTTCTTTTCTTTCTTCTGATGCATTCAGTTTCCCATTTTTGGTTCATTTCTAATGGATCTGGTAAGCTAGACGTTGGCTGAAAAGTTAGCTGTTCGCAAATAAGCTAGCAGATAAACTAGTCATGTTTGATAAATGCTATTGTAAAATAACTTGAAATGATAGGGTTTTTGGTCATTTGGGTAAAATGTAAGGGGCAGAATTGGAAAAAAAATGAAAAAAACGCCTAGAGCTTATTCAAACGTTACCTGAGATAGCTTTTCAAAAAGCTAGTTTGTTACAACTTTTCAAAGAGCTTATTGAGACGCTACTTCTACTTGAAATAGCCTAAAATGATTTGATTCCTAAACTTATACTTGCATGATTTCTAGGTCTCCTGCAACCTCTAAGATTCGAGCAAAGATGTTATATGCAACATCCAAAGACCGTCTCAGACACGAGTTGGATGGTGTCCATTACGAGATTCAAGCAACGGACCCTACGGAAATGGAGCTTGAAGTGCTCAAAGAACGCGTATACTGATTGGTTAGCTTTCTTGAACTTGAAAGTTGCAAACCGATTTCTCCGCTTCTTTCTAGCAGAAAGAAGTTAGTATGTTCCGAATAAATGGCGCCCACATGACAATAAGACGAACACAACCAATTCTTGACGGGCTGCGCCAATGTTTTCGACCAATTATTGTAAGACTCCTCCCAATATTTATGCTTTACAAATTAGTATGTAATCAATGACCTATAGATATACATATATATATATATATGTAGTTGGCTTTTGATTCTATCATCTTCTTGATGCTATTAGTTTGTTAGATACAAATATAAAACCGATCCCGGTTTGAAGATCTAACTAGTGTATGTTTTCACGGAAAGAAATGAAAGATTGCAACAATCTTTATTGCTAAAAAACCAGACTAATCAAGCCCAGTATATCCCAGTCAGAAGTAGGGTCTGATAGGCGTGCTTCGAAAGACCAGGTAGCAGACCATGTATGGGAACCAGTAACTTGCATAGTTGGGTAAACCTTTTTTTTTGGGGGGGAGGGGGGGAGTTGCATACATATCTCCTCTCTCCCCCAGTGGCACCCACTTTCGAGTAGGATCTCGGGTAGGATGTTTGCAGACTTTGCCTCTACCGGAAAATAAGGGGCTGTTTGGTTGGTTTTTTATCAAGTCTTGTATGGATAAAGTTGTTTGTGTGTGGATTAATCCGTCTGTCTAGATTGAGAAGGTTTTTGCTTAGAATGGGTTTTCTATAAATGGAAGGGGCCTGTTTTTTAATTAGGAGGGGTAGATTTGGAAAAACTTGACTTATTGCATAAAGCTCCGGCTGGAAGTTTACTGAATAAGCCACTTTCTACATCATTAAGTCACTACCAAACAGTGAGGTATACTAACAAACAGGCTTTCTGACCATTTCTGTGAAGACCCCTGCTTTAAACATGATGTCTTTTTTATATCATTCTTTGAAGATGATTTTTTGAAGACTTTAGGAAGAGCGAAAGTACAATTTGAACATAAAACAAATAGACTTGAATCGGGATTTTAGGTTGAATCGGGTTAATCCGCAGCTACCTTCGATACATCTTCGAGCTTTACCGCATCATCGTAATCGTCATCGTCATCGTTATCGTTCTCCCCCGACATCTCCTCTAGTGATTTCCCTTTAGCTTCGGGTACCATAAACGTACAAAGAGCACCCAAAAGGTTAACAACGCCCAATATAATAAGCGTGTTTTTAACACCGATACCTCTAGAATACCCCGGTTCGGCTTTATGTTTATCCTGAGACAAATATAAGAACCCGAAAGCACCCACAATCGCCCCTAGTTTCCCGGAAGCCGCCGAAATGCCATGGCAGGTTGACCTCAATCTTGCCGGGAAAATCTCAGCTGGCACGATAAATGTGGTGGCATTTGGCCCGAAATTGGCGAAAAAGAAAGTCAATGAGTACATCACCACAAAACCGATACGGTTCTTTTTCTCGGTCCAGTGATGGTACGGTATTGCTAGCGCAAACATAAAGATCGTCATCATGGTAAATCCCATCAACTGGATTTTAAATCTTCCCATTCGGTCAATTAGGGCAACGGTGAACCAGTACCCCGGGACCGTACTACAAAGTGCAATAAGGGTTTGAGCTCTTGCGATCCGGAACACCTCTTCGATTGCGCTCATTGTGTTTGCTTTTGGAATCCACCCAATTGCGCTAAAAACGTCTTTTTGGAAGAGATTCTGGCTGTAAAATGCTATATCGAGTAAGAACCAACAGGTTGTGGTGCCAAGCAAGTGAAGCCCATGGCGGCGAAGGAATTCTTTCGTGAACAAACCGAAAGAATTCGACTCCTTTTCCGTGAATTGCTCGAGTTTCTCTTGATCCGCCTCGATATCAACTTGCATAACCCGAGCCATATCGGTTGCCGCCTTCTCGGCGTTCTTGGCAACTAAGGCGGTGTAGCGAGCAGTTTCCGGCATCTTCATTCGCCAGTAATAAGTCAAAGCGGCCGGAACAGCTCCAAACATCAAAATAATCCTCCAGACGTAATCAGCTTCATGTGGGGTCGATCGAAATTCATCTTTAATGTATGGCGGAACGTTGTACTTGGCCCGAAAAGATGCCGAGACAATAATCGCGAAAATCCCGCCAACTAAGATCCCAAAACCTTGCATAGCGAAAACCGCACCGATAAAAGCTCCACGAGTCTTCTTGTTTGCGTATTCCGACATGATAGTGGCGGAAAGTGGGTAGTCCCCTCCGATTCCGAACCCGAGCCAGAACCGAAAGAAGCAGAGCGTGATCATAACCGCCTTCGGGTCATCACTGAACGAAAGGCCCGAAGCTATGGAGCAGATAACCATGATCAATAGCGTCATCCCGTACACTTTCTTTCGTCCCAATTTGTCCCCGAGCCAGCCAAAGAAGAGCTGGCCTGTTAGCGTCCCACAAAATGCAACTCCATTGACCGCTGCCGCCACATTCGCCGGCAATACGCCGGGAGTGGGACTGCCGTCAATGTGGTAGTAAATCCGACCGAGCAATTTCGTTACGAGCGAGATACAAAACAGATCATATGCATCTGTGAAGAAACCCATTCCAGCAATGATGATTGCAGTGAAATGGTACCATTGTGTTTTTGCAAGATCAAGTGCATGAAGCACTTGAAGTTGATCCCCGGCCATCGTTAATCGTTCAGCCTTTTTGTCATTCTCGTTTGAACCTCCGTATGTATATATATACATAGAACGTTAGAAACAAGAAATACGAGCATATACCTTTGAAATGGCGAACAGGCGTAAAGATGTCCATAGATCATCGAAAGAAACGGTTTTAATTGTGGGAAATCATCGAAAAGGTTGTGATTTCGACGTTTATAGTTTTCAACATACATAAAGACAGCAAGTTTTTGGACTATCAGCAACTGTGATTTATGCCTGCAGTTTGAAATCATTGGACTTCTTCAACAAGAATCTGAGATTTTGACGGCAAATTTGGTATTTTTACATCTGAGTCTGTCTTCACTCACAGAAACAAATGCTTTATAATACAATACATTTTGAAACAGAGGTTAAATCTGTATACATCTTATCCCTGCTTTTAAAACTGGTTTTAAATCTGTATACTGGGTTTGTTTGGGACTTAGTAAACAGAATAGCAGCAAAGACATGGTCTAGAATCCATATGCATAATTACAAAATCAAACACATAACTTCCTCCGGGATTATTTATCTGTAATAAAAAAATTGTCGTTTTTAACCGTAGTTCGTTTTTGTTTGACACGTTATTCGGGTTTCTGTCCGAATATAAACGTGTTTGGCCAACTTTTTGTATTCGTAGTTGAAGATGTTTACGACTATTACCATTCCTATATCTGATTATTGGGGTAAAGGTAATGCCTGTATACGTCATATCATCTGGGTTTGACTTTTGACATGCAGATACATACACACTTAATTTTTTCCTTTTTTCAAAAATAAATAATTAATTTAATCAAAGTAATTTTTGAGTAATTGTGTATCTGGTAAGTGAGAGTTGTGACTTTTATCTCATAATAGATATTTATCAACAAATCTTTTCGATGGTCGAGATCGAGAATATTAATTTACAAAGTAAGCAAGAGTGGTGACTATTACAAATGAACACTTAGGGGCCGTTTACCAAACATTTACCCGGTAAGCGTTTATCGACAAAATTTAACATTATCATTGACTTATCAGGTAAGATTTTAGTCCACCAAAACGTATCGTATGGAACAATTTACCCGGTAAACGCTTACCATGGTAAGAGACGTCGCCCTCACTTACCGGGTAAGACCCTTGGTCCTTGTCTCGTTCTTACCGGATAAGATTTTTGGTCCTTACCATATTCATCCGATAAGATAATATGACTTGGTATTCACTTACCCGAGTAAGCGTTTGGTAAACGGCCCCTTACCCAATAAACCTTCTCCGGAGTATGCTCATGACAAGATCCCGCTTTCAAGGTTTTTGGGTGCTTGTATTTTTGTTAGTTGTGTTTTTCGTTTTTTTCATCTATTTAAAATAAATTTATTTTTTAAGTTTAAAATTATTTTAGTCATGATTATGAGTTAATTAATTACTCCATTCGTTTCAAAATAAGTGTCAACATTATTATTTTTGTTTGTCTTAAAATAAATATCTAATTTCTTATTCGATCTTTAATCATAAAAGAGAAAATTGTCGTTTTGTTGATTAAAATATGAAACGGTTATACATTCCTAGAAGAGAAATTAATTAAAATAGTCATTTTTTGTTCATTATTTCAAAAATGTCGTTAGGTCCACGAATAAGACTTAAAAGTGTAAGCAAATGTTTTTAAATCGGGTCCGCAACTGTGGGCACCAAATTTGTAAATTAGTCCAACGACAAGTCAGAGGACCTTTATCTAATTTACAGATTTAGTCCCTACATTTGCCGACCTGATTCATACACTTTTTTTACATTTTGACCCCTCTGTAACTTTAAGGAGATATCACTTGCGCATCTACTAATATTTTTGAATTTTTTTAAAAGTATGGTTTTATTATATATATAGCTTAGTTCAAATGTTAACCCAAACTATTGTGTTAACTTTGTTAACCATTTTCAATCAATCACAATCCATATTAAGTTTCTATCCATCTTAATATTAAGTTTTTATCCATCTTAGAATTTAATGACGATGATACATATGTAATTTTCTTTTTTATGTAACTCCTATATTATTAATTAGGAGTACAAAATCATAAAATCTCATGATTTGTGTTAACTTATTATTAATTTTGTTGTTTTTTTAATATTGATTTTATATCTTTAATGTTTATGAATTTGTGATTGGTGGAAAAGACTCGATAATAAAGTTTTCAGTATCGTTCAAATTGACATATACGAAAGATAATAAACATGTGTGACTATATGAGCAAAAATTCACATATGAGAACATTCGTACAACTATATAAATAAAAACTCAACATATATGAACCATTGTGTCAATTACGAACACAAATTGACATGAACACTTGTGTCAATTAGGAAAACGGATTTGACTTATATGTACAGTTAGTATAAATATGAACACATTTTGACCCAAATGAACATACGAAAGATGATGAACATGTGTGACCAATATATGAACATTTCGTACAACCATATGAACACAACTCGACACATATGAACCCTTGTGTCAATTACAAACACAAATTGACATATATGAACCTTGTGTCAGTTACGAACACAGATTGGCATATATGTATTGTTGGTATAAATATAAGCACATATTGATACAAATGAACATACGAAAGATTATGAACACAAATGAACATATAAGAACATTCGTACAACCATATGAACACAACTCGACATATATGAACCATTGTGTCAATTACGAACACAAATTCACATATATGAATATTCGTACAACCATATGAACACAACTCGACATATATGAACCATTGTGTCAATTACGAACACAAATTGACATATATCAACCCTTGTATCAAATATAAACACAAATTGACATACATGCACACTTGTGTCATTTACGACTTTTTTTTCATATACACCCCTGTTCACACACCATAAATATCGAATATTTGTTCACATATGAACCATTAAAAAAAACTGTAGAATAATCCGATGTCGAGGATCTTGCTGTTGGTTTTGATTCAATGACGAGATTAACTATCAGATAGTTACATTGTTATTAATGGACAGTTACAAAACATTTCATTGTCATTATTAGACATCTAAGATCTTTTCCCAAAATACCCTTGTAAATACTGGTTACTTATGTTATCTTGCCTATATGTGCAATTAATTACACTTTATGTCATGAATGATTTTAGCCACAAATTTCAAAGATCAATGATCAAGATTGATTAATAAAATTACCACAGTAATTTGGATTAACAAATGAACTTGTCTATATATATATATATATATATATATATATATATATATATATATATATATATATATATATATATATATATATCGAGTGCTACGCTTTAATCTTATTAACAAAAATCATCTAATTATTTAAATGGTTCATTCTAATTATCTCTAAATAATTACATAGTTAAAATAATAATTTTTAATCTTGACGATATTTTTATAAAGCAAAATAATTACGTATTGTTTGAAATACAAACTATTTAATTTTAAGGAAATTGTGATAATTTTATAAAATTAAATAATAAAATAAAGTTGAAATTTGCATAAATTTAACGGTAATAAAAAAAAGTAACATAATTCTCGTACTCGTACTTCTCCTACAAAACTGGAACAACACGTGTAAAAAACCCACACTCCATTCCGACACTCACGCTTGCGACTTCCCATCTCCTTCATTCTCGCCGGACATCTCTTCCAGCGATTTCCCCTTCGATTCCGGCACCAGAAAAGTACACAACGTCCCCAATAAATTAATCACTCCCAACACAATCAACGAGTTCTTCACTCCGATCCCCGGCGGATATCCGGCGTCAGCCTTTGCCGGATCTTTACTTTGCGCCAAATACAAAAACCCAAATGCCCCCACTATCGCTCCAAGCTTTCCCGACGCCGCCGAGATCCCGTGGCAAGTCGCCCTCAACCTCGCCGGGAAAATCTCAGCTGGGACGACGAAGGTGGTGGCGTTGGGGCCGAAGTTGGCGAAGAAGAATGTTAATGAATAGATAATCACGAATTTGATGTTGTTTTCTTTATGAATCCAGTAGTTATATGGGATTGCTAAAACGAACATGAAGATCGTCATCATCGTGAATCCGATTAATTGGATTGTGAATCGGCCCATTTTGTCAATCAGAAAGACGGTGAACCAGTAGCCGGGGACGGTGCTGCAAAGCGCGATTAAGGTTTGTGCTCTAGCGATTCGGGCGACTTCTTGGATCGCGTTCATGGTTTTCGCCGGCGGAATCCATCCGATGGCGGAGAAGATGTCTTTTTGGAAGAGGTTTTGACTGTAAAAGGCGATGTCGAGTAAGAACCAGGTGCTCGTCGTTCCGAGCAAATGGAGGCCATGGCGCTTACAGAATTCCTTGCTGAAAAGTCCGAAGGAATTTCCTGATCTCGTTGTGGATTCATCGATTTTTCGTTGTTCGGATTCTAATTCGACTTGGAGGATTTTGGACATGTCGGAAGCGGCTTTCTCGGCGTTTTTCGCCACCAGGGCAGTGAACCGGGCGGTTTCCGGCATCTTCATTCGCCAATAATAAGTCAACAGCGCAGGAAGAGCACCGACCATTAGCACAATTCTCCAAACATAGTCTGCTTCTGGGGCTGTTGACTTGATCGGATCCACCTCATACGGTGGAGCATTGAACCTACTGTTGAAAATCGACGCGATCATGATCGCGAACACTCCGCCACCCAAGATTCCGAATCCTTGCATGGCGAACACCGCCGCAATAAACCCACCACGAGTTTTTTTATTGGAATATTCCGACATGATGGTGGCGGAGAGCGGGTAATCACCGCCGATCCCAAATCCTAACCAGAACCGGAAAAAGCAAAGGGTAGTCATCACCCCCTTGGGGTGGCTACCGAACGATAAACCGGAAGCAATCGAGCAAAGACACATTAACATCAGTGTGATTCCATATACTTTCTTTCTACCCAATTTATCACCCAACCACCCGAAAAAGAGTTGTCCGGCGAGGGTTCCGACGAGTGCCACACCATTAACGGCCGCGGAGACTTGCGGCGGTAAACTTCCCGGCTTTAAAGAACCTTCTTTATGATAGTAAATCCGGCCGAGCAATTTGGTGACGAGAGAGATGCAAAAGAGATCATAGGCGTCGGTGAAGAACCCCATTCCGGCGATGACGATGGCCGTGAAATGATACCATTGAGTTTTAGCTCCGTCGAGGGCATGAAGAACCTGCAAATTTCCCGATGATGACTCCATTGATGATCTTCTTTCTTCTTCAAACAACCTGAAATGAAATCAAGAAAAACGACATCAAGAACACTTTTTGATCGGTTTCTCGAAAACCCAGATGAGATTGGAGTTGATCCATGGATAAAAACACAAAAAAGATTGAAAAAATTGAATCTTGAACTCACCTAAATGGTTGTTGTTGCCATGGAGATTGAAGCAAATATATATGTATATATATAAATAGTAAGGAACAAAGAGTGTTGAAACTAAAATTAAGCGGCATATTCTCATTATTTTCGGTTCTCCAACAACTCAGTCAAATGCAAAAAAAAAAAACTTGTATTCGTATTTAAATATCAACAAATTGTTTGGACAGCCCAATGGGCTTTTTGCTTCAGATAATAAGGCCCAAATATGTGTCCATAATTCCATACTAAGGTGTTTTAGGTAATTTGAGTAACGATGGTTAAAATGGGAATTCCGTTCCAAAAGTGATTAAACAGTGAAATTGATTGGGGAGATTTGCTATTTTGGTCAAATTCCCTTAATGAAAACATGGTCCCATTTAAATTATTATAATTAAAAAGAGCATATAAGGGGTCGTTTACTAAACATTAACCTGATAAACGTTTACCGGATGAATGATAATGCAAGAACCGAGAATCTTACTTCGTAAGAATGATGACAAAGGTCGAGAGCTTTACCCGGTAAGTGAGGGCGACAACTTTTATCCGATTAGCGGTTAACAGATAAATTGTTATATACGATGCATTTTTGATGGATCAGAATTTTACCTGATAAAGTAAGTGAGAGTATTGACATTTACTAGTAAGCACTCAGATGAATATGGCATACATTTTTTACCCTCAGTTAATTTATGTAGCTTATCAACTCTTAAAAATATGCATATTAGCCAAGTGTAACAGGGAAATTTTGTTATCTATTTTTGAAAGTGTACCTTTGTTTTATGACGAACATAAATAAAATATGGACGTCTATTCAATAATATGAAGCTTTAATAAACTGTACTTATGTACAATTTACTTGTAATTTTTAAATTTAAGTAATATGCATCAATAATCAATACTTTATATATAAACACTAAGTTTAATAATTTTTGTCAAATATTTTATAATTTAATATTTGACCAAATTTTAAATTATTTGTTCTTAATTACATTGTTTAATTTTAATCATGATTTTTCTATTTCTATAAAATCCACATGACTATAAATACATATTTTTTTTTCCTCACTGTTTTGTACAACTTTAATTATCTTTTAGAAAACTACAACTTTGGTCCTTGTAATTCTTCAGAAATAACATTTTTCGTCTCCAAAGTTTCGAAATTATCAGAAGGCCGTTGTAGTTTGTAAAAATATCAAGATTTGATCCCTCTCTATAATGGTTGTTGAAATTCCGCTAAATGATGTGTATTTCATCATTTTATGATTTTTTTTTTGTCTTTTAACCAATCAAAATCAATTTTATGATTTTGATCACTTTAGTTTTTTACTGTGTAAAAGACTAAAAAATGGATAAAAAAAAAAAAAATGTCGTCTATTCAACGAAATTTTTAAACAGGATCAGATGGATGAATTAAATCCAGATGTGTTTGCAAACCGATCATCTTTTAATTTCAAAGCTCTAAGAATAAAAATGTTATTTTTCACAAATCACATGTCTAAATTAGTAATTTATTCTACTTTTTTCATATATAAATAATTTATTTAATTTTAGATTGGAAACACCTCACCGTACACAAAATTAAATATATAAAACAGGTTTTCATTAAATGGGTTGTCATTTTGTCATTTATGATAGCTTTTACTTTATTAATAATTTAATATTACTATTATTATTTTGTATTTCGTGACATGAACGTAAATAAATTATTAAAACCATTTTTTATTATAAAAAATGCATTAAGTATAATTATATTAAACATACATGATACTAAATTTAATTTTCAAACATTTATATTGTAATAATATTTAATTTAACTTTCAAACAATTGAATTTTTTTAGTAGCGGTGGATTTCAGTCCAACTTATGTGCACTGATATCGGATAACACCGAAGACGTATTAATATAATCGTATTTGATATAATCCTATATGATATTTATTTTAATGATCAACTCCGTCAATTATCACGACTATAGGCAATAATGGCCGCCACCATTAAATGTCGGCCATTGCTACCCACCATGGACCACCTCCACGACTACTGCCGGTCGTCACCACCTATCCCACAATCACAACCTGCAATTCTACCACCACCAGTGACTACCATATAAAATTATTAAACAATATGCATTTTTGACGAAACTTGTCTAGTTCGATACCGTTCTATTGTACTACGTACGAAATGATACCTAAACATACCTTTTAAAACATATATTTATTTATTGGTGTAGATTTCTAATAATTTACAATATAAAAAAAAGAGTCAAAATTTGGACCTTTTTGTACATGATTTCAAGATTGTGGTGTTGATGATTCACAAAGAAGTAATAGTGATTCCAAATAATCAACACCCAAATCTTGGAAAACCACCGTGGGTTTTTCCTCCGGCACGGTGGCAGCCACCGGTTTATTCTTTCTGACCGCCGGTTTTTTCCTCAAAGAATGCCTCTTCTTTAACGTCATCACAGGGGAACACCCTTCTTCAAACCCATATTTCATCTCCTTCAATGATTCCTTAACTCTCTCCACAGGGAAATTCAACACCGCCAGCGTCCCTCTTGTCGAGAATGCCGCTTGATCGTACGCCATGGCGGCAGCCTCTGCGCTATCAAACGTTCCGAGCCAGACCCGGGTTCCGTTTCTCGTTGAATCCCTTATCTCCGCCGCGAATTTCCCCCACGGCCGCTTCCGAACACCGCGATACGACTTCACCTTCTTCGGCTCGTACGTGACCTCTTTCTTGGCCGCAGATACGGCGGTGGAATTGGGTACCGGAAACTCTATGCCGCCCTCCTCCGCTAGTAAAACGGGGTAAAACGCATCGTGGTAGTCGAATTGATTGAAAGGGTGGGCATTATGCCGGAAAAGAAGTTCATCCCATGAACAAGAAGTTTCCGGCGAATCGTACAGAATGAAAGATGTAGCCATTGACGGTGGTGGTGGTGGAGTGTTGAGTGAGTAGAACAGAGGCCATCCTGGCTTTTATATATACCCTTTTCAAAATACAATATTTTAAAGAAAATATCAAATAAATTTAGATTTTTTAATTAATAAATTTCTGATTATGTTAATTAATTTAGGAGGAGATTAATTCAATAAAAGGGGGGATGACGGTTAAAATTGGCACGTGGGACAAAATGACGCAAGGCGGCTGTTTCATCTCAGTTGGTAATTTAAAAGGGCGTTCCGACGTGGACCTAATTAGGCAGGTCATTATAGGGATGACCAAAAACATTCATTCCCGAACAAAGAACCCGATACTCGAACCTAATTTGACCGAAGAATCCTCGATGACCAGGGACGGGGGCGGTGAAGTTGTTAACTGGGGATGGGGGCGGTCATGAGGATACCCCTCAAACCCGGCCCCGATTATTTTATGACAAATCCAGTTTGTATTATTTATATTTGAACTATTGATACATGTAGCCATTAAAATTTGGCGAATTGAAATTTAAAATAACACGATGTTCAGATGTGAAATTGATATTTATAAAAATATTATAATAAAATACTGTAAAATGGGGAAAAATCCCTGATTGGGATGGCAATTCTCGGTATCTCCGACCGTGTTGCCATCTCTAGGTTAGCATGACAACTGGGATGGACTAGATTTTTTTTATATATTTTCCTTCAACGCATAAATATCTTTGATAAGAAAAGTTATGTAAATCAAATTTAGGGCATGTTTTTAGCCGCTTAATGTGACTCAGAGTTTATTAAGTTAGCTACTACTGTTTGGTAGTAGCTTAAGAATATAAAAAGTTGTTTATTCAGTAAACTTTTAGATTAGAGTTTTATACAAAAAGATAAGTTTTTTCCAAATCTATCATTCTCAATTAAAAACATGCTTCTTGCATCTATGAAAAAACCTTTATAAACAAAAACATTCTCAATTTGTACATACAGATTAATCTACATGGACAGTTTTAATCATACAAGATTTAATGGAAACCAATCAAACACTCTTTTAGATGAAAATGTAAACCGGTTAAACAAAATTCAAAATGAGACCTACTATCAGTGAAGCTTTATTATATCATGTTACAACGAATTTGGCAGGGGTTTTTTTTGGGTATCTATTAGGCATTGGGTATAATATAAAGATGAAGGCGGATAAAGTAGACAACAGTCATGATCACGAAAACCCCGTTAGGCGCTATCAACTCAAATGAGCATCCAAATTTTTTTGAATGATAGAAGTCAACGAAAGCTTCCTTAGAAAACTTGAATCCTAAAGCGAACAAAAAAAAGAATATTACAAACAGAAATGACACGAGGACATAACAATCTACTGGCAGAAAGCGGAAAATCCCATATTGACCCTGATAAAGTTCTAGAGAGGGGATCCAATATTTCCTATCCTCAAAGAAAGACCTTGAGTTCGTATTCATTGAATACAGCCAGTTTAACTATTAGCATTTATCGTCACGAACCAAACCTTTGAAACTTTATGTTGATTTTGCATTGAATAATAACAATATTAAACCAATTAAAATAAAATCATCTCCAAGACAATCGCACGTTTTAAAGGGTATTTTCGTATATTAATCATCATCTTTAGTCGTCTGCAATCTACTGATATTAAGTAGAACCAAGGGGAAGAAAGATAACGCATAGTACTCACACATTTAAAAACAAAATCACTTAATTTACTCTACATCAAAACATTTGGAGTCGTTGAATGACTGGATTTTCACAGTAAAAAACATCTAGCAATTACATGAAATGAGAAATGAAACCACATAAGGATGGTGTCCGATTGATTTGAGCTTGGATTGTAAAGATCAAAAGTGTCTAGAGGTCTCATGTTTGAATCCAATGAGGAATAAAAATATCCTTATGACCACAAATGTTCAAATGCAGTGACTCCGAATTATTAGTGAAGTGGGTGATCATTAGTCGACTCGCATAACGGGTTGGATATTCAGGTTAATAAAGAGAATGAAAAATGAATGATAACATATGGTCCCCAAATGTCTATAATATTAATGTCTGTCCAGATGCAAGGGAAGGGATCCATCCAATTAAGAGCTACAGGGACAATATTGACAAATACGTAGGTTTGTAAATGAGCCACTTGGATTTTAAAAAAACTAATGAGTAGGGCAGGGTGCAGCCGTCTTTCGTAAATTACCTTTATGCCCATCTATGGTTCGTTATCCGCATACACATGTTGATGGGTCTAAGTTAAGTTAGTTGGATATAAATGGTATTTCACAATTCATTTCTTTTTTGTTTTACAATTTAAAATTAAAATATACAATATGCTTTTTTAATTTAACATAGTGAAAATAACTAAAATACCCTTGATTTAATTGAATTTGACGGAGAAAGTTAACGACTGCTAGACAGAGAGACCGAGACCATTGGGAATTGACAAAGTGAGGGTCCAAATTTGAGTTTTTAAAATTTAGGGATGATATCCGTTCAAAATTACAATTGTTACAGAGAAATAAAAAGAAACGTCACGCCACAAGAACCTATCCAACCACCGATCCATGATATCCATCCAATCATAGTTGACACACTTGGTGTGAATGCAACGAAGCCATCGAAGACTTGGGGTGTCGAAAATATTTGAAACCAACAATAATCCACCTGAGCTGTATGAAATTTCAGTTAAACAGTTCGGCCAATGAAACATAAGTTAAACATGTGAAGATTGGTTTAATGTGGAGAATGCTTGACATATACAATTTTTCATATAGTAAATTTTATCTCCAGTGACACGTGTTTACGAAGGAAAAAGGATATTAAAAACAAGTTACATATTTAGCAATTTATGTGTATATGTGTATTATTAGGTAAGTTTTATTTCGTTTAAATAAATACAGATTTTGAATTTTTTTTTTCTTAATGTGTAACTACAAACATATTTATACTGGCTTTTCATAAAATTTATATCTTACTATATTACACAAGTATATCATTTATATTTTTATGCATTTTTGCATATTATACAAAGTTACAATTTTTGCCCTTCTGGGCTTTGAATTCGTCTTGACAATTCTTAATTAAGTTACATGTTACTTTCTTTGGCCTTTTTAATGGATTTCTTCTAACTCCATTAAAAACCGTTATATATTTCTGTTAATTCCAGTTAAATGAGGAATATTTTGGTTTTTTTTCTTTTGTTTAAAAAAAATCATGTAATTTACATATATATATATATATATGTATATATATATAGATGAACGATTAAAATTTGTACAAATCTTACAAACTAATTACAACCAATCATATAAATCCATTGATTTTTTTTCAATTTATAAGGGTATTATGGTCATTTAAAATTACAATAGTTATGTTTGGTAATTATTTAATATTAATAGATAAGTTTGGTAAATATTTAATTGAGGCCATTAAATTTCCAATAGTTATGTTTGATATAGTTATATTTAACAAAGATTTAATTGAGGTATCTATTAAAAAAAATTAGAATCACCACATTTTAAAGAATGTAGAAAAATTTTGTTTAAGAAAATCGTCACTAATTTCTAACGAAACAGACTCAAATTGTTCAATGAAACAAGGTAATTTTCAATGAAACGGGTTCAAACTGTTCAATGAAACAGCGTCACATATAATTGCATCAGGTTTATATGTATAACAGATATAATGAAACAGATTTATATTCATAGGTATGTATAACAATTTGTAATGAAAAAAGTTCATATGTATAACAGCTGTAATGAAACATGTTCATATGTCATATATGATTGCATCAGGCTCATATGTATAACAACAATTAAACAGGTTAATATGTATAACAGCAGTAATGAAACATGTTCATAGAACATGTTTTTTTTCCCGTTTTGCCCTTCCATATCTCCAATATGAATTTTTTTTTACTTTACTTATTTAGTTTATTTCAATCTTGGTTTTTCATCAAAATATTGGATTGATGTGATTAGTTTGTATGGTTTGTATGAAATGGATGGTTTGCAAAGTAAACCTCATATATATATATATATATATATATATATATATATATATATATATAGGGGTCTATTC